TCAACCATCCAACTTGAATTATGCTGATAATATCCCCACCAATTTCACCATCACTCTAAACAATAGATCCAAGATATCTAAAATGTGTACTCTTATTAATGACTTGATCGTCCAAAGTCACAATCCCCTCACTAGGTCTACTGCTACTAAAATTATGCTCCATAAATTCAGTTTTAGATCTACTCAAGCGAAAACCTTTAGACTCCAAAGTTGACCTCCATAATTCAAGTTTACCTTCAACTCCCTCTGTAGTCTTATCAACAAGAAGAATATCATCAGCAAAAAGCATACACAAAGGTACATCTTCTTGCAAATGTCTCGTGAGAACATCCATGATTAGAGCAAAAAGATATGGACTTAAGGCTGATCCTTGATGTAATCCAACCGAAATAGGAAAATACTTGGTCAAACCACCTTGTGTTTGAACACAAGTAATAGCTCCTGCATACATATCTTTAATGATTTGAATATAATCATTATTAACTCCTTTCTTTTCAAGAACTCTCCATAGCACTTCTCTTGGAACTTTATCATGCTTTTTCTAAATCAATAAATATCATATGAAGATCCTCCTTATTCTCTCTATATTTCTCCATCAAACCTCTCAATAAATGTATGGCTTCCATAGTAGACCTACCCGGCATGAATACAAATTGATTTTGAGAAACATTAGTATCACGTCGCAACCTACGCTCCATAACTCGCTCCCATAGTTTTAAAGTATGACACATTAACTTAATTCTTCTATAATTTGCACACTCCTGTGCATCACTTTTATTCTTAAAAATAGGAATTAACACACTCATTCTCCACTGATCTGGCATCTTTTTAGTCTTCAAAATAGTATTAAAATAGCATAGTCACAACAACAGGACAAAAATTATATCACTATCAATACTCTTAAATTGATAGGGTTGAATTATGATAAGAAACGCTTGCAAAAATTTAGGAAAAGCTTTGGTTGAAATCTGGTTTCAGCAATTTCAGAAAACAAATGATAAGAAAATCAGGAATAAAACACACGAACACTTTTTTATTGAAAGTTCTAAGAAAGAAAAGACAAGATATAAGTGGATCTTCAATTGGAGAGGAAAATCCAGCTCTTTGAAGATCCAGCTCTCCCAAATTTCTAGCCATTGGCTAGAGCCCAAACACCCTAAGAACAATCTAATTTCAGCAAATAACACCTCCCCCTAACCCTAGGAAAATCATATATTTAAAGCAAACAATAAATAGTAAATACCCAAACAACCCTCCCCCAATTCCCTCCTATTTCTTTAATTATTTTTCTCCCAAATCAGCTCTCAAATCAGCCCCTAAATCTGTCATCTTCAATTAGGAAACATTTCCTAATTAATCCCCTCCAAATCTGCACTATTCAAATTAGGAAACATTTCCTTATTGTGATTTACTATTTTCCCAAAAAAAGATAAATTTGGCCCTTCAAACTTCAAAGAGAAGTTATGTTGCCCGTTGTTGCTTCCAAGACCTCTAGACCTTCAATCGTTGAAGTTGCCACCAGACTAAAGAGACAAAGAAGAGGCCAATAAGAGAGGAAAAAGGAGGTTTTAAGTTTAGAACTTGAATATGTGCAATCTAATTTTTCATTGATTAGAATACATCTAACTATAGTATAGAAAGAGAATCAAAATCCAAACTAAATGCAAAAGTTAAGACGAGAATAATTACTTAACATTTGAAAATCTAAACTAGCTTCCTAATATCAATGAGAGAATATGCCTTGGAGATTAAAAGTCTAACCAACTCTACTAAGTTCTAGAAAGTTACCTATTAAATACCAGGATTAGCAAATTCTTTAGCCTAAAATCTAAAAGAATAGATATAACATCAAATTCAAATAAAATTAAATCCTAAAATGGGTTGAATGCAACAGGACAATCACTCATGCACTAAATCGGTCAGCCCCAAGGGTATAATAGCTCCTTTTGAGATCAGTTGTCGTTGAGCTGGCCCAATGCAATTGTAGGCCATTAGGCCAATGGATTCAGATTTGCCTAGATCAAAAGAATACCTTGGAAATGATTTCCTTCTTCGATAACAAACAGTTATTTTCCTCATTTTCATCCCCATTAGAAGGGACCATCAACACCCATTAGGGGGTGCAAAGGGGTATCAAGCATTGAGAAGTGATGCATGATCTTCCTTACATACAGACAGAAACCAATGAAGCTCATTAATTTAGGAATAGTGCAGGTCGGCCAATTTTGAATAAGTCAATTGATCACAATCTTTGTAGTAGTTACAGGAATCCTAACCCCTCCTACATCAATTTCAACTTCTCATCATCCTGCATATACTAATCTAAAATTAAAACATAACTTGGCATGTGCCTAGCCCATAGAATTAAAAGTTTGAAGCCACAATAAGCATCAACCATTCAATTTGCTTTATGACAATCATCATTTCTTGCTTATTATGTATCTCAGCCAATATTTTTTTGAAGCATCTCATTGGCTTCTCCGCTCCTCTGCAGATCTCACCTGCCAACCTCAAAAATCACATTCCATCTACTCAAACTTTCCTGTAATGCTAAAAAATATCATATTGTTCCCCTACCACGCAAAGTCACAAAAAAAAAGAATTAAAAAAAAAAGGAAAAATGTTCAATTCCAACTCTTTGTTTCATTTCCTTCAAAGAAGATCTTCATATCCACATTAGATGTTTCACAAAATAGATTTTTAGTAAAAAAAATCATGTCTCCCCACTCTTTGCATTAAAAGCCCCACAGCCCCAATATTATCGAACTGTTCCTCACCAGGTAAACAACACCACCAAAGCAAAGAAAGACTTCGACCAACCAAAAAAAATTTAAAAATATGATAAGAAAGACCCGAAAGATAAAATAGCAAACTATGAAAATCATGAGAGAGATTTGAATATCTTACTAGATGCTGAATGAATTAAAAAAAAAATTAGCAATCTAAATAAGACTTGTTTAAATGTTACCCTTACCACTTACAACATGATAATTTTCTTAAACAAAGATAATGGGGCATTATATCTTGGAATAAATGCTTGTTGATGAGATTGTAACTCAAAGACTAGAAAAACAAGTGCTTATTTATTCTTGTGACTGATGTTACTAGCATGATACCTCAAAATACCCTCCTAACCTTAAGAAAATGCATGCAGAAGTCCAATAAGCATATAAAATTAAAATGAGAGAAAATATATCAAGCAAGCCACCACACAGAGATAATAAATGAAAATTACTAACAAAATAATAAGTAAAAAATTGCCAACTCTATGCATCCCTTCAACTCATGTTTGGAGCTGTCTATTATACTAACAATACAAATGATAGTGGAAATACAACAATAAGGTTATTTGTAGATATAACTAAGCTAATGCAAAACCAAATATCAAATCTACCCTTCGATTTAACTTCATAAGTGATAGAATTTTTGGATCAAGTATATTTGCTAGCTCAAACTACGCCCATTTATGATATGTGGCAACAATGAGAATCTTAGGATGGATGTGTGGCAAACTATGAAGGCCAAATTAAGAAATGATTATACTCAGGGGCGGAATCATTAAGCCCTTAAGGGGGGCAATTGCCCCCCATAAAAAAAATTAAAAAAAATTTTAATACATAGAATTTTAGGTAATTTGTCATTCTCAATCTTTTTTTTACTCTTTATTATAGGAATTTTTAAGCAATTGCCCCACCTAAAAAATTTAAATAGTATGATCTTTAGATGATTGTCCCTTAAAAGAATTATGCACATTGTGTAGATGGGTTATTACAATGGATTTTAGACAATTACCCTCCTAAAAGTTTTAAATTAATATGGTCTTTAGGCAATTGCCCCCAGCATAATTAAACACATTATGTAGAGGTGTTATTTTTAAGGAATGATGAAACAAATATAAAGAGAAATAGTAAAGAGAATTCAAAAATATACTTAGAAACCAAAATTTGTTTCGGGGGCACTGCCCCTTGACCTCGCTACCTGAGTAAAAAAATGAAAAATGAGAATCCATAATGTCAATCTCAAGTAGCTGGAATAAGATTAATGATGAAATTTTTACAGATGAAAAAATACATTGTGATTAAAAAAATATTTCTAAATAAAAGAGAAACTGTGAGATACTTTGTAATATACATAAGTTATATGAGCTAATTAAAGGGACACGAGACTTACTAATCAGGGCCAAAGCCTACCAGGATCTTTTGTCAAATACATTTTTAATCTAATAAATTACAAAGAACTGTATTATAGATGAAGTATATTATTTATTAGTATTTTATAATACTTTTAGTATAATCCTATGCTTCCCAGAACTGTCGTGAGGAAGAGCTTCCTAAGGTTTAACATATGATAATAAACAGATTCCCAATTACTACGTGAGAACTATATATGAACCATAAGGAACATAATCATGGCGTACAATAAAAAAAGGAATTTTAGAAAAGATACATATAAACCTCGAATTCATCCATGTTGCAAAAGCTAACAAAGTTCAAAATATGATGGGAACTTATGGCCAGTTAAGTTAGTGAAGTAGTAGACAAAAACCAAATGACCACAGAACTAGGTCAGTCAGTCCAAACAGTTAATGAAATGTGACACTAACAAAAGAGCATGGATCACATGATATTGCTATCTAAAACAATCTGCGTGTTCCAAACTAGAAAGGATTAACTAAAACAGATGGTTTATGATATTGGGCAGTAGGCCCCTGATAAACAATATTAAATTCGAAAAGCCTACAGAAGAGATTGAAGATCTCAAAACTTCCAACATGAAGCAATTGTTTGGATCCCCATGGAAAAACTGATATCTTCCGCCTTTCAGAACTTCCAACATGCAACAATGTTTGGATAGAAAATCCACCCATATATAAAAACTGATATCTTCCACTTTAAGGAAAACTGGTCAAATTCCCAGAAACCATAGCCCAACAAAAGCTCAACACAAAAAAAGCGATCAGATACAAACACAACACAGGAAGAGAAAGAAGAAACTCTCACCGCTGTCTCCTATCAAAAGAAGCTTAATGAGGTAATCGTAGTCCGCTCGAGCCCTAGCCGGAGGAGCAGCCATGGAAGACTCGCCAAAGAAGCCCCTGAAATTCTACTCCCCTCCGGAAAACCCCAGATCCGCTCTTCGATGCAAACAAACACCAAAACTATAATAGAAATTGTCTTAATTGAAAATTTCTATCACGAGGATCGGAAATGGCGTAGAGAATACCAGATCGAGGACAATGAAAATATGCGGAAGGAGTCCAATGGCCGCAGTTCGGACGTTGAACGCTTTCAAGCAAAGAGAGATCAGTGTTCTGAATTTAATTTCTTACATATGCAACATTTAAATAACATCCCCCTCATTTTTTTAATACAATCTAATCATCAATGATAAGGGAGAGATCATTAGGATGAAATTGATGACAATAATATAATATTGATTTGATAATGAAAATAGAAAGAAACATAAACATTAAAAAAATTAAACTAATTAAATATGGGACGACAAAAGAGAGGCATCATAAATCTCATTATTCATTTTTAGTGAGATTTCGTTGGGATTTTTCTCTCTCTTTTTCGTCAACGAATGCTCCATCGCAGTGGGGAAGGAGTGGACGCAGTCAAAACCCCTATCCAGTGAGATCTCGCTGGAACTTTCTCATCTCTCATTCGTCGATGAATGCTTCATCGTGATTTCTTTTTCACATCGAGAGTTCCATTATCTATAAATTTGAGTGCAATATATGTAAATCCCTCTCTTTTTAAACCCAAATGATAGGATATTTAGGGTGGGAAAGGTTCCTCACCAAAAATCTCAAGAGAGCTTGCTGATGAATGAGCTGTTGGAGAGAAAATTAATAAAAATTATATCTAGTAATGTGAAGTCCATAAGACAGGCTCCACATGAGCCTTTCAAAAGTAATTAATGTTGGATATAAGCATAAGCAAAAGTATTATGAGGGATTATCTGCACATGATCTCTGTATGTGTGAATAAAAACTCCACATTTTCAAATTCTCATATATAATTCACATTCAGTGATCCCCATAAAAACCTAATAAGATATAGTTGTGTGAAGATCCAGTACAAACTTATGTAGAAGAAGATTACAAGTGACATCAAAATTTTAATGTGAAAAGCTAGGAAAGAAAAAAATCATAGGGCCTTACATAGTTCAAATGATTCAAGTAGTGTATATCGCCGGTGATTTACAAATGATGCCTCTTTCCATAATTGGGGAAGATGTTGTGCAGGATATTGGGAGGAAGCTTGAGCTTATTGGAAGAGAGAGAGAGAGTGAGTGAGAGAACGGGATGGGGGGTGGAGATAGAAAAAGCTGAACTGAAATATTTATTGATTGGCTTAGCCCTTATTACTGCCTATAACATCTATTTATCCAAATGGCTACACAAAGCTTGACATCAAAGGTAATACCTGTTAAAGTGTAAACATAAATAAATATAGTTGTATTTATTTGCTCTGCTTAGCTGGCATTTGTTGATTGGCCATTAGGATATTCTAATATCTATATAAACATGTAATCTGTACATTTCGGATAATGAATTTGATTCTCTGTTTCCATCAACTCATCCCTTTCTCTTCTTCTTGATTCTGGTCATCTCTTTCTTTGTTTCTTCATGGTATCAGAGACCTAGGCAAGAACAATCGCTGCAGAGATGAGCTCCGCCACATCTAATCCCGGAGAGCAATCGGAGATAGAGGAGACGGAAGACTCAACGATTTCATCGGTTCTCAAGTTTGTCGTCTCAAACTTAAAGACGATCGTCTCGATTCAACTGGATGCCGACAACTACCCCGTATGGAAAGCACAAATTGCAAAAAAAATTCGTGCCAACGGTTTTGATCGGTTTCTTGATTCTTCCATTTCTTCTCCGGCTCCGGTCATTCTTCAAACCGATGGTCGCTCTATTCTGAATTGTCATTTCATTCAGTGGAGGCTAACTGATCAAAATCTCGCTGTGGCTATATGCTCTACAATATTCTCCTCCATCTTACCGTATGTAGTGAATCTTGAATCAACGGCATCTATCTGGACTACGCTCGAACAAAGATTTCAGTCTACTAATCGGTCTAAAGTGATTCAACTCAAGAATGCTCTTCACAACATTTCACTCAAGAATCAAACCATTACTCAATATCTCTTTGAGATAAAGAAGATTGTTGATCAGATTTCTGCATCAGGAGCAACGGTGGACCCGGAAGATGTTCTTCTCTACATTCTCAACGGTCTTCCACCAGTGTACCAATCTTTTAAAACATCGATTCGGACAATGTTAACCCCTCTATCTCTGGATCAGCTGTACCCTTTTACTTCTTAGTGAAGAGATTAATATTGCATCTGATAATGCTCGCGCCGAAATACTACCGGATCCTCACACGGCGCTCTTTATGCCTCGTGGTAGAGGTTGTCGCTCGAAAGGCAGAGCGTCATTATCCAATGTGCCGCCACCGCGTTCTGCTTCTAACTCACAAATCACTTGTCAAATTTGTGATAGAAGAGGTCATCTGGCTTCAACATGCTAGCATCGGGCGAATCTCAGCTACGTTCCCAGACAACCGCAATCGCAGTCCAGAGCTCTTGCTGCAAACACTGAAAACCAATATTCTGAGTGGTTTCTTGACTCTGGAGCTACAAATCATCTCACCAATTCGCTGGACAATTTGTCTATCGCGACACCTTATCATGGTTCCGATACTGTTACTGTAGGTGACGGGAGATCGGTTAACATTGCCAACACAGGCAATGGTCTCTTACCGACTCCCAATCGTAAGCTATTTTTATCTAAAATTCTTCACACACCGTTTCTACAGTTTAATTAATTTGCTTTCAATTTCTAAGCTAACGCAAGAAAACTATATTTCGATTATCTTTAATCCTTCTGGTTTTGTGATTAAGGATATGAAGACGCAACAGGTGCTGCTTCAAGGCCTGTGTGAAAATGGTCTTTACCCGATCAGGCTGAAGGAATTATCTGCTTCTGGACTCGGCCTGGCTGCTGTCTCCGAAAATTCTATCAAATGGCACAATAGATTAGGACATCCTCATGAGAGGGTGATCAAAACTATCTCTCAGTGTAATCCTTTACTTCAAATAAATACTGATCATATAAATTGTATTTTCCGAAAAATCATATAATCGAAGCAATTCTCCTTTGTCTATTGTGCACTTTGATGTTTGGGAGCCGGCTCCGGTCGTATCCAATCAAGGATATCGCTATTACGTGCTATTCGTAGATGACTTCTCCATATTCTCCTGGATTTTTCCTATGAAGAAGAAATCCGAAGTTTTTAATATTTTCGTATGCTTTAAAACCTGTATAGAAAAACATACTATGCATACTATCAAAACTTTCAGGTCCGATGGGGGGTCAGAATTTGTGAACAATAAAATTAATCAGTTCTTGAGATTGCACGGTATAGTTCATCAGCTGGCTCCTGAGCAGAATGGGGTAGCTGAATGGGGTAGCTGAATGCAAGCATAGACATTTGATAGAAACTACGAGAACGCTTCTTCACACAGCTTCGGTTCCTTATCAATATTGGCCTGATGCCGTTCTCACGAAAACTTATTTGGTTAATCGTTTACCTTCTTCTAACACTGCTAATATGACTCCATTTGAATTATTTTTTAATAGCAAACCTTCATATAATCACTTACGTACCTTTGGTTGTGCTTGCTTTCCTTTATCTCCAAAACGTAATCATCATAAACTTCAACCCAAAGCACCTGTGTGTGTATTTCTGGGGTATTCGGATGTTTATAAGGGTTATAAGTGTTTGGATATAACAAGCAACAAAATTTTTTGTTCTCGTCATATCTCATTTACTGAAACAATGTTTCCTCTTTCCAAAGCTACTGTCAGTACTGAAGATCAAAGCTCAGTTCATGTCACGGTTCCTCCAAATTTACTAATTCTTGTTTCTGTTTCTACATTCAGTCCGCCTACAACTAAAAATAACCATTGTGTTCAGGATTTATCTCACAGGTCTTGTCCATTAACCATGTCTGTTGCACCGCCTGAACCACCTCCGGTTCCCATGGTGTCGAAGAATTCTACTCATCACATGGTTACGCGGAACCAAACAGGTCACTTAAAACCTACAGAACGTCTAAACTTACTTCACTCTACTGCATCTGTTGAAACAGACACACCCAATACCTATGCTCAAGCGATTAAATCACCAGCTTGGCGTCATGCCATGGCGCAAGAATTCTTGGCTTTACAGAAACAAGGCACTTGGAGTCTTGTTGAACCCAAGCCGGAGTACTCTATAGTTGGATGTAAATGGACGTTCAGGACAAAAATGCGTGCAGATGGTTCTATTGAAAAACACAAAGCGCGATTAGTAGCCCTTGGAAATCATCAAGAATTTGGGCTAGATTACAATGAAACGTTTAGCCCGGTGGCTAAACTCCCAACCATACGCATTCTTCTAGCTGTGGCCTTGTACAACAACTGGCAAGTTGATCAACTCGACGTGGCCAATGCGTTTTTGCATGGTACATTGTCGGAAGCTGTCTTCATGAAACAGCCTCGCGGTTTTGAAGATGCACGGGCTCCGAATCATGTCTGTAAACTTAACAAGGCAATTTATGGTCTCAAACAAGCACCTCGCCAATGGTATACAACGTTCACTGCATTTCTTACTTCCACTGGATTCACTCACAGTAAATCGGACCCCTCTTTACTTACTCTTCGTACTCATTCCACAACTATTTTTTTGCTAGTTTATGTTGATGATTACAGGAAATAGCTCTACTGCCATCTCCTCTGTTATTACTCAACTCAACACACGGTTTGCTATGAAACATTTAGGACCTGGTCATGATTTTCTTGGGATAAAAATAACAAAAACCGAAGATCGGTTTTTCTTATCTCAAAGTCAGTACGCTTGGTCCCTTCTGCAGCAAATGAATCTTCAAGATTGCAAACCTTTAGCCAATCCAAGCTGTACCAAATTTCCGGAATCTTACTCTTTGGCACCGGAACAAATGGATCCTAAGATTTACAGACGGATAACTGGGTCCTTACAATACCTTACTATTACCCGTCCGGATATAGCATATAGTGTAAATCAGCTATCCCAATATATGCATGAGCCTCAACCGAAACATTTTTTCATGCTCAAAAGGCTGTTACGCTATATCAAAGGTACGCTCACTTTCGGAATTCCAATTACAAAAACTAATCTACATCTCATATCTTTTTCAGATGCGGATTGGGCTGGAGATCCGGATTCAAGGCGATCGACATCTGGTTACTGTTCCTATCTAGGCGATACAATCATCTCCTGGACGGTCAAGAAGCAGCACACGGTGGCTCGGTCCTCCACAGAGTCCGAATATCGGGCGCTTGCTGCACTTACGACAGATATTATATGGCTCCGACGGCTGCTTTTGGAGTTTGGAATTGATCAAACTGACCCAACTGACATCTTTTGTGATAACACCTCTGCTATTGCTCTAGCCAACAATCCAGTGTTTCATGCCAGAACAAAACATATTGAAATCGATCAAAAGTATATCCGTGAGCATCTACAACAAAACAATGTTCGCCTCATACCTATCAGCACTATAGATCAAACGGCTGACATATTTACTAAAGCTCTATCAACACCAAGATTTGTCAAATTACGAGACAAGTTAACAGTTTCTGAAGATCCATTAACTTGCGGGGGAATGTTAAAGTGTAAACAGAAATAAATATAGTTGTATTTATTTGCTCTGCTTAGCTGGCATTTGTTGATTGGCCATTAGGATATTCTAATATCTATATAAACATGTAATCTGTACATTTCGGATAATGAATTTGATTCTCTGTTTCCATCAACTCATCCCTTTCTCTTCTTCTTGATTATGGTCATCTCTTTCTTTGTTTCTTCAATACCAAGCTATAAAAGAACCAAAAGAAAGGACAATGAAAACTAGCTAAAATCTATACCAATATACTAACAATATCCACATTGGTCCAGATTTATAAAACATCGAGTCAATCCAACCTTCTCCTGAATCTACTGCAACTGCTAAGCTGGCATCTGCTTTGAGTCCAGCTCCTTGCAGTTTCAACAAAATAAGTATAATTTCTCTCGAAGTGTTCTTCTTTATGGCAATAGAAGCGCTTCTTGCTCGACCTGATCCTTATGAATTTTGATCTTCCTCTTGCAATCAGAATACTGCTATTATTTTCTTCTTTATGTTCAAATTTTCTTTGAACATCCTTTGACTCAAGACAAATTTTACCTCTTTCATTGTTAATGTTTGCTTCCCATACAACATAGTGTCAACTACGTGCTCATGTATTCAACATAGTGTTGAATATAATTCATTGATCTTCTTCGTCTATTGTCACATCGACATGAACAAGAAAATAGTGTTTGATCTATGCCCCAATGACACTAGTCTGCAAGATCCGGGATGCTGCCTGAATGACTTAATTTCATGTCTCTTTAATCAAGAATTTTTGAAGGCTCGTAAGATCAAGTTACTTTCTGCCTCCCTTGTGCGCCTTTCAATCCTCTGTCTCTACCCCACTCCTTCCTTCACTCCCCTCACGCGATCGAAATCGTTTCTTCTTGAGCAAGTTACGAACAACACCAGTCTATTCTATCCTCCTGCGGCAACCCCTTTGCCTGTCTGCAACACAAGCGTGCGACAGCGACAGCAGCCTCCGTGTCCACCCGAGCCCTGGTCTGATCGGGCGCCCTCTGTAACCCACACCTCAGTCTAATTGCCTAGAGCTCACCTGTTCGCTTGCATAGCATTGCGTGAGTGCTCCCACGCACGTTCAGCTGGTGGGCATCCGCCTTGCTCCCAAACGAAATCTTAGTTATTCAATTTTAGATGAATTGGGTAATGAGTTTGACATGTTCCTTAGTACAATTGTTGCGAATATTAACTAATAACTAGTTATTCAATTTTAGATTAATTAATATGTATATAACGCTAATAATTCACTTATAAATTTAATATCTAAATATTACTACTCCCATACATTCAGAACTTAAAATAATATAAAAAAATCATCCTCTCTTGACCCTCTTTGTTACTAAATTATTATGATTGTTGGTTTTATCACTCTTTGTCATAGCACTTATTTGTTGATTTCATGTATCTCCTTACACAATCTTATCAATCTTTTTCGCTGTGATACTTAAATATGTATCTTTTTTTTTTTTTTTTAGGGCTAGGGGAAGGTGTTTGCCGGATATTAGATGGAAGTAGTCCTAAATGATCAAAGTATTTACTAAAAGATTTTGATTTTGTTTGGAATGTCTTTCTTATTGCTTTTAAAGTTGTTTTTTAGTTAAAAAATTAAAAATTTTATATAAAAAAAATTTACTTTAAGAAGCAGTAAGAAAGTTGTCACGAACAAAACCTCAAAACGATTTGCCAACTTAAAATGTATTTTAAATGTTGTTTGATATTTCATTAGAATTTGACAAACCTAGATAAAGGCGTAAAATGTAAAGTTTTTAATATGAGTTTATGGATTATTAAATTAAGTGAAAGAAATAGGATTAGTAAAAAAAATTTTAAAATAGCAAATGATTTGGTGTTTCTATATTTTAACTTATTCATGATTTAAGATAATGAAAAAGGTTTCTAAATAAGAAACAAGAAATTTTAAATCCCTATAATTTGTAAAGTTGAGAACTCAAAACTCAGATTAATTATTCTGTGCAGATTCCGAACGCTGTCCGGAGGCGAATCACAACGCGTCATATCACTCATTTGTTGGGTACTGGTGCTCGGTACCAATATGTACTGGGTGATGTGGCGCGCTATGATTTACCTCCGAACGGTCTAGAATCCACACAGAATAATTTCTCCAAAACTCAAACACCATTTGATCTCAACTCTAAGGTATTCAAGTCACTAGGGTGACCTCAGACCCACGGCGAATTATTACGTCCGGTCATCGGACGTCCACACATCCAATCCAGACGCGCCACATCACCCAAATACATCGGGCCCTGTGTATTTTGATGACATGGTGCGTCTGGATTGGTGTCCGGACGAATCCGGAAACCGGACGTAATAATTTACCCAAACCCACAGTCCCCACTCCCCACCCCCATTCGAAATAATAGACAAATTTTGAAATACGTTATATTTAATTTATACTGTCGAATATTCAGAAACACCCATTTCTCCAATGATAACAGTGAAATTCAACCGTGGTAGAACACCCCGTTAAAATTTTTTTCCATCTCAAAGGAAGAGCAAGCAGTTCATTCTCAAGGATCGCTCAAGGCTCTTTCTTCACTTGCATATCCCCATAATGTGTTAAGAGTCTATTTGATTGTAAATGTTTAATATTCATATCTTTTAAGATATTAGTATAAAATAAATATAATATTTTTTGACTTTTTAAAGGTAGTTTAATTGATTGTAAAAATAGCATGTTGAATTTTTACTAAAAAATAAAACTCTAATTCTAAAATTTTTAAAATAGTACAAAGAAAAAGAAATAATCATTGCCTAATTAGACCCCGCAACAAGGCAAGGAGGTGGAGGCCAAGGTTTGTGGCTGAGGAAGGAGCTTTTATTATGTACGGACACTGCACGAGAACTGTCCGATTAAACATTGGGTACCCAGCAGTATCGAGTGCATAAGATGCACGAGTCCTTAGCTACATTACCAAAAATTGGGGTTCTTAAAACATTAAAAATTCTAATAAAAGCTTTCTTTGAGACAACTTTTTAATGTTTTTCAAAAGAATTTTTCAATACAAAAATTTCTTAAATTAAAAAATAATTGACTTAAAAAATTATTTTAGAAAAGAATAAAAATGTTATCCCGAACAAAGCCCCATATATTACTTGTGTACTTAGCTAAATTCATCCAAAGATTTACATGAATAACACTTAGAACTCATCCAATTACATATTTAACACTTAAAATTCACTATAAAAAATATATAATTAACATTTAAAACTTTTCACAGCAAAGGAAGGGCAATGAAATTTCATTAGACCAAAAAGCACCACAATGAGACATAAGAAGTCAAAAGGGCATCTCCAACCGAACTCCAAACATTTGAATAGCGTCCCTAGCCAGCTCCAACCAAATCGTAAAATTTCCGCCATTTAGCTGCGGGTGAACAGTGGGACGACAATATTGGCGTTGCATGTTCATCTCCGCCATTTTTACCTCTCTATCAAACTTGCCACGGGAAAGAAGAGACGACCGTTACCTGCAAAAGAGTGAAAAATGAAATTCGATTGGAGATGAATCACAGCATTTTATAATTTCACGACATTTTAGAGTGAAAAATGAGATTTTCAGTTGGAGATGCTCTAACAAGATCTCACCACAGCATATAGAACAAGCCATGAAAAGGAAGGGTCATCACAAAATGAGAAAGAAGCAACAGAACAAAGTTGTGACATAGGATGGAAGAAAGGCAGCAGCAAGATCTCACAAAAAAGGTTAAGATGAGATAATTGTGTAAGGAGACTCATGGAACCTAAATACATGCTTTGAAAAAGGGCAATAGGACCAACAAAGATTACAAAATAGTAAGGCGAAGAGGATAACTTTTTATATTAAGTTTTGAATATTACCAAAATAAATAGTGATATTTAGATCTTAAAGCTATAATTAAGCATATTTTGAGTGTTACATATAATTAATCAAGTTAATCAAGCATAAAAGGATACATTTGCAATAGGGTAGGAAAGAGCTTTGCTCTGCTCTTTCGAGGAAAGCAAAAAAAAAGGATTAATGGTGTTGCTGACACATAGAGCAGGCAAACAAAGATCACATTGAACCAGTAAGAGAGAAGAAGCAAGCTGATATAAGGCGAAAATAAGCAAAGCAGCTTCAAATCTCTTTTTGTAACAAAAACTTCTCCAACCACAAGCGACCAATTGAACCGTAATAACTTCATTAAAACCAACAGCAAAAAACGGCATTGCAAAAAGATGACAAAAGAATCCTTAAAATCATCATAAACAAACTACTTTGATGTAAGTGATTTTTTTCCCCTCTAATGAATGAAATTTGATACTCGGTCGCTTTGCATTTCAGAAAGGAAACAAAAAAAAAAACCAAAAGTAATATAAGTAGAATAGGCATTTTCTTAGATTTGCCATAATTTTTGCTATTCAAAGTGCTCAATTACCACAAAAACAACGGAAATATCTCTTGTACAAAAACAGAAACGGTTGGCAAGAAAGAAGATTTCACTTTCAATACAAAACAACATGAATTAGCCTAATCTATTCCTGCCTCCCCATAAACAGCAGTGATATCTGAAAGCTACAGGTAGAACAAGTAGCAACTAACAACCACAGAATTTGAAACCTCATGCGGCCTTTTTAGGAGACTTTTCCGCCTTCTTCGTGGTCTCCTTTGGCTCCTTTGCTGCTGTCTTCTTTGGCAGCAGCACCGGATTAATATTCGGCAGAACACCTCCATGTGCGATCGTTACCCTCCCCAAAAGTTTCCCAAGCTCTTCATCATTCCTAATAGCAAGAAGCACATGCCTTGGAATAATACGGTTCTTCTTGTTGTCGCGAGCCGCGTTTCCGGCCAATTCCAAAACCTAAAAGTTAAATCAGCGAATAGGAACGATTAGATCTTCAGATTAGGGCATGAAAGGAGAAAGTTTTATGAAATTACCTCAGCGGCAAGATATTCAAGGACAGCGGCGAGGTAAACGGGGGCGCCAGTACCTACGCGGCGGGCATATCGGCCCTTTTTAAGGTATCGGCCGATACGGCTTACGGGGAACTGGAGTCCAGCACGCACGGAGCGAGAAACGGCCTTCTTCTTCTGGCCTCCGCCTTTGCGGCCACTGGCGCCCTTCTTGACCTTGCTAGTGCCATCCATGAGGAGGTTGATTTGCTGCGTTTGAGAAGAGGAAGCGAAACGCAGTGAAAAGGTGCTGAGATGATGCCAGTGAGTGAGCTCTTACTTTATTGTGGCGTAAGGCACGTAGTGCCACGGATCAAGGATTTCGTCCGTTGATTAACTCGTGATGGACGGTACAGATTGCTTTGGTATAAAGTATTCAGTATTGTTTTTAGTGGATCCTCGCAGCAATTGCTCTTTAGTAGCTTCCCATGTTACCACGTTCTGGCAAAAGGCACGAATAGGGCTGCAAACGAACCGAGCCGAGCCAAGTATCTGAGTGTTCATGTTTGTGTTCATTTAATATCAGCATATTCAAGTTTGGTTCATGTTTGTTCTAGCTTTATTGTTTGTGTTTATGTTTGGTTCATTTAAATTAATGAGTGTTCATGTTCGGTTCATATTCATTCGTTTAGTGTTTATCGAGATTGTTCGCGAACATATTTTACAATTTTTTTCTAACTATCAAAGAAACACATTCATGAACATATATATATATGAACAAACACATTTATAATAAAAGTAATTGCTTGTGCAATAAAGGCAGTGATTATTTATATTTATTAATTATATAGTCAAATATTAATTATTTTTATCGAGCTTATTGACAAGTTCAAAATCAAACACGAATCGAGCTTTTATCGAGCTTCTTATCAAGCTTAATGTCGAGTTTGTTCACGAACTTCAAATGATGTTGTTCGCGAACATAAATGAGCCGAACGCATTAGTGTTCAAGTTTGTTTATTTAAAAATTGAGTATTTAAAATATTGTTCAAGTTTGTTTGCTTAGTTAAATAAATGATCACAAACGAGATTTAATCGAACCAAACAACGAGTAGATCATCGAACATTTGGTTCGCTTGCAGCCCTAGGCACGAACAAGATGTAAGAGTTGTTGCGGTCTGAAAGATTCGTGGCGGTAGAGTGAGTAAACTTTTTGTCTTAGCGATGCACGAATATCCAACACACAAATAGAAAGAGAGAAGTAGAACATCAAATCTTTTTTTACTTGGAAAGCCCGAAGAGGGAAAAACCACGGGGCCTTGCCCTTCCTTAAGGGGAAGGTCTTGGCTTGATGTATATTATATGTAGTAGATGATATGAATACAAAGTGTCACTCTTGACATGTTCGTTTGGTCAGAAGGATCATAGTCGGCGAGCCACAGAGGTCAGTATGATCGTAGTTGGCGGGCGACATAAGTCGGCAGGATCGTGGTCAGCGAGCGACAGAGGTCATAATAACTGTAATCGGTGGGCGACGTAAGTCCGAAGGACTGTAATTGGCGGGCGACGGAGGTCAGAATGACTGTAGTCAGTGGACGTCGAAAGTTAGAAGGACCGTAGCAGCTGGGTGACTGGAGTTAGAAGTATTGTTGTCTAGCGACGAAGGTCATAAGGCATCAATTGGAAGTCGAATGGAATTCTATTGTCACTTGAAAGTCGGGCGGATTTTTGGAGTTTCGTGGAAGTTGGACAGAGTTCCAGCGTCCCTTGGAAGTTGGGCAAAATTCTAGCATCACTTGGAAGTCGGCGAAATTTCCGGCATCCCGTGGAAGTTTAGACAAAATCCCAACTGTGGTCGAGGTGTTTTTTCACTCCTTCCGTTCTTTTCTTCTCATCTCCTTTTTCTCTTCTTCTTATTTCTTGGGTCTCCTCTCAAGAGAAATGAAGGACTATTATAATTTTTTGAGGATGGCATATCCCATAAATATTAGGATCAAGGGTAAATGTGGAGTGGTTCGAATGGACAGTCAATATTAAATTTTTTGATCGTATATTGTTCGTCAGACATTTGAATGTCTTAACGATATCAAAATTCAACGATCTTGTACATGTTGGATTCATCTCGTCAAGTTGTTTGATTCGATTATGAGCATGTCGTATTTGAAAACTATTTGGTAATCCAAATTTTGGATTGAACCATTCAAATATGCTTCATGTATTCGATTCAGTTCCATTTGGGCTCAGATTCAGTTGAATTTAGTGTCATTGGGTTTGTGTTTCCAAAACATTCAATTCGACTATAAGTTTGTTGAAATTAGAGTTCAAATGATCACATATTTAATTTTTTAAGTTTCCAACTTAATTTTTGCCTCGAGATTAGTGCCCGATCATGATAATTTTTTGATAACATATCAATGTCAAATTTATATACATGGGTTCAAAATGGAGAAATTATTACATGCATAAGGGAATGGGCAATCTTTTATGCTATGATCCTCTTTTTTCATCTCTCTTCTACATATCTTCTCCCTACTCTTCTCTCTTTATTTTTATTTCTCATTTTTTTTTTATAGTGACAACCTCTTCCACTAGCCGCATCATAAAAAATTCATACATAATTTTTTTTTACTTTTAAATCCACAAATATTATGTAATGATTTTTATATAATTTTATTATTTAAATAGTTTTAATATTGAATTATTCAATTTACTCCCAATCAATTCAATAAATCTTAAACATCTTTCTTTTCCAATACTATCTCTAATCTAATTTTTACAAACATAAAAATGATTGGAAAACATAATTAATGCAACTAGGACTTTAAATTATTACTTGCAAATGACAAACACAAATGAGGAGGTATCATATTACCTAATGCACAATGCATTGTATTGCATAGCACATCCTCATTCTCCTTCAAACACATTCAATATCCAAACATAATAATATGAGAATCTCTACAATATGAAAGCCCACACTTGGCATTTGTATGGCCCAATAGCTTTTTCTTTTACCCCTACCCTATTTATAACCATTTCTTTTTTAAAAAATAGAATTCTTGAAACAACTTTTTAATACAAAAATTAAAATTTATATACCAAAAAACTTCTTTTAGAAATATTAAAAAAGAAATATCTCAAATAAAGTCTATGTTATTTTTGTCTAGAGCCCCTTACTAATTATATGTTGGACACTTTTTGAATGGTACTTATTTACCTTTTTAATTAATTAAGGTGGGCTTTACTCTTATTTTCCCAAAGAACAACCTCTCTCTCTCTCAATGATTGATGATGCATCCAATGTAGACTGTTAAACGACAGATAGGATAAAATTTATGAGAGAAGATAATTACTTTTGTTGCCTTATATTAACTTAATAGACGACTCATTTGATATGTTTTTGGACAGCTTAATTTACCAACTAAAAAATGTAGAATCTAAATTTTTATATATAAGATGTGTTTGTGAGTTTGACAGTTTGAAAACTAGCCTAAATGTCCCAAAAAAAAATTTAGTACCAGTTTTAAATTATCTAAAAAAATTTCTTTTTTGAATCCCTCAAGGCAGAAGATTCGTTTGGCAGAATCGTAGACAAATAAAGCCTAAAACACGCCTAAAAAAGGTACCAAATTGTTCATCTTAAAGACATAAATGCGCCAAAATAAGAAGAAAATTGAGAAGAAACACATAATGGTAACGCATTATGAAAGCAAGTAGATGTTTTTTTCTTTCTCGAATAAAAACCATTACATTAGCATAGTCCATTCTCCTCCAAACCAAACACTACACAACGAAAATTACATACAAAGCAAGCAGCGCAGAACCTACGCGGCCTTCTTAGGAGACTTCCCTGCCTTCGAAGGCTCTTTTGGCTCCTTGGCCGCTGTCTTCTTCGGCAGAAGCACCGGGTTAATATTCGGCAGAACTCCTCCATGCGCAATCGTTACACCACCCAAAAGCTTCCCAAGCTCATCATCATTCCTAATCGCAAGAAGAACATGCCTTGGAATAATACGGTTCTTCTTGTTGTCACGCGCTGCATTACCGGCCAATTCCAAAACCTACAAACCAAATTGAATGAGGAAAGCTGAGATCTTTCGAGATGTGCATTAAAAAAGAGGGCTTTCGCGTTATTACCTCAGCGGCGAGGTATTCAAGAACGGCGGCGAGGTACACGGGGGCGCCGGTACCAACACGGCGTGCATATCTGCCTTTTTTTAGGTATCGACCGATACGACCTACGGGGAACTGTAGACCGGCACGGACAGAGCGAGAAACCGGCTTCTTTTTCGGGCCACCGCCCTTTCGGCCGCCTGCGCCTTTTTTGACCTTGCTGGTGGTGTCCATTTGGAAGTGCTTTTCGATACGTGAGAAGGATAGACGTTAGAGAAAGCAGTTAGCGCGGATGGAAGCGATGCAGGGATTGAGCTCTGGCTTTATACTGGTGTTTGGCCGGTGATGCCACGGATCGATGATTTATGTCCGTTGATTAAATTATGATGGACGGTTGGCAATGGGTATCTGTGGGACGAGTGGTTGTCTGAGAAACAAGGGGAATGCCGCCTAGATTTCTCCGAATGGGTTATTCCGCCCATTCCGCAATATTTATTTGATTTCTTCCGGTCCGTCAATTGGCTGCAGTTGGAATTAATATTAATTTAATTATTTAAAAATTATCTTTTACATGAACGCTTATTTTATGTCCGCATAAAAATTATAAGATGTTATCATTTTTACATTTATTTAAAATTAAAGCTCCATTTTTTCTAAAAATTATAGTTATTACATTAATTAAAATTTATCAAAATCTTCCTACTAATAATTTATGGCCCAACTCAAGCATTATAATAACATGTTAAACAATGAAGTAGAAAGGTGTATGTGATTGATTGTTACATAAATCATATACTTGGTATATTAAGATAACTTAACAATATAACCATAAGTGTTTGATTCACTAACCTTCCTCTTTTTTTTGATAGTTTCAAGTTCTTTATAAATATCTCCTGATTTAACTTAGGTCGAGTGCACTATTGATTCCTCTTGAATAAGCATACTCTATAATTCGGTCACATTCCATTTATCTTTAATAGTATTATAATTAATTTGGAATGGACCATATTCAGGAGGCAGTGAGTTTATAATAAACTGTAAAAGAAAACTTTCACTCACTTTCATTCCCATAGTATTCAATTTTGCTATGTTAGTAATATTAGTAATGTGCTCATAAATAGTACGAGAACCATCAAATTTCATGGTGGTCAACATACTCATTAAAGTCCCAGCACGTGACTTATCAGCAGTCTCATATTGAGATACATTCTCCACAGACTTCATGAATTCTTTAGCATTATCTGTTATTGAAAGTGTTGGCTTAATAATGTCTACTACATTCATTCGCATAAATATTAGGCTTAATCTATTTTATCTTTCCCAAGTTTCATGAAAAGATTTTTCTTCAATACTGCTTATATCAGTAAGAGCAGTAGCCTTATCATTAAGTAGTGCAAAATCCAGATCCAAAACTCCTAAATGAAATTAGATTTCTTCACTCCATTCAGAATAATTAAGCCCATTGAACTTTATAGTAGATGAAGCTTACGAATAAAGAATTACAGAATTAGATGCTGCAAAATAAAATACAATACTCACATATCGATGATTTGAAAATTAAATTCAAAATATAAAACAGATTCAGATAATATTCACGTAATCAGTAAAATGTATAATATAGTTCTCCTTTGGGTGATACTACAATATACAACGATAATCATAATTGATGCTTAAAGTAAAATTCTCATAATTAATAATTATACATACTCCAATTAAATATATTTGATATCTTTGGATATACTAAATATATTTAATTAAGTATGATAATTTATCACATTTATATCCAATAGTACAAAATGATTAATCAACCTTTGGACGATTCTTAAATATTTTTGTAGCAATTGAATGTTAATTACTTGTGATAAAATTTTTATAAAATATTATGTCATTCTGTTAATAGCATCGCATACTCACGAGTAATTAAATATTATCTAATTAATATTTATGAAAACTTTCTAGTTTGACCACTTTGGTGATTAACAAACTATGCTTGATATAAATATTAAATTAAATAATTATAACATTAATTATTTCAAATAAAAGAAATTTCTTAATGTATATAATTACATATACGAACAAAATTTCTTTAAAAGCAAAATTGGATTTACATCATTAACTTTCATATGATAAATCATTTCATAATGAAATAAATAATATAAATTATTTCAAAAAACAAAATAGAAACATAATTAATTTGCCATGAATTAACCATGACAAAATATGATTCTATAATTGATACATTAATTGAAATCGATAATAAATCATATAAATTCGATTTCATTAAAAAGAAACGTCGAAGAATTTAAAGAAAACTTTAATCGGAAAATCAAAAGTTTTCAACCATGCTCTGATACCACATGTAAGACTTTATGGAGTTCTTAATTATGTTGCGAGAACTTACTCGCATATATAATTCAAGTTCTCGAATTCGTATAAGAACTTTCTTTATGATTAAGTTCTCTAAATTTTAGAAGAACTCCTAACATGCATTATGAGTTCTCTAACTTTTATAAGAACTCGCATCAAAATATGTAAAAGAAATCGAAACGGAAACTTGAAATTTACATAAGTCTTAAATACTCAATATCTTAAACAAGATGATTTTTACAATCTCTTAATTGAAAGAAAATCATACCTTGATTCATTTTGAATTCGCCGAATTCGAAACTACGGTTTCTCTCCCTTCTCCCTTCACTTTCTTCTCTCATGAGTTAGTTCTCTATTGAGCAAAGCAACTCCTCATATAATGAGAGAGAGAGAGAGATGACCGGTAGTTATTTCCTACGGATTGGTTACAATAAACGCATAGGAGTTATTTGATCAAACGGTCCATAAACAAATGATCAAATTATCTCTTCTTGACCAATATGATTAAACATAAATAATTAAATTTTAATAATTCTAATATATGGGCCACTTAATGAGTTATATAATTAAATATTCATACTTAAATAATTATTGCGACGTCTCGCATAATTAAACGTATATATAATTATTCTAACACTTATTATAACAATGGTCTTAATTGCCACAAATTTGCAGGATTGCTGTGGTCATAAATACCATTATAATCTAGAATCATTTTTTAATTACATATTCGTGACGGTTTTAACCGCCACAAATCTGTACAGTCCACAACGGTTCGATTTTATTTAAACCCCTGCAATATAGATCACAAAGTTCCTTTCTCTATTGCATCAAAAGTTGAGATCATAACCACATTTGCAACCATGAAATCACAAAAATTAATTTGCATATCCACCTAATTACATCATAGATAATAACAAAAAATTTAATATTCCTTACAGCGTAGGCAAAAAAGACTACTTAGCCCAGATTACCATTACTGTTAAGGTAGCCGCCCAATGAGAGCTGGATTCAGAATCAATAAACCTCAATTTAGAAAGCCAAAAATTTCACTAAACTATGGTTTATATTCTAATCAAGTATGCAAGCAAGATAATAGGGAACCAACCAACCTTACATATATGAGAATGCTCAGGTGGATGAGTGGCTTTATTCTTAGAGTCACGACACAAAATAAGCATATAGGTGAAAAGGTAGGAGTAGCTCCAGTGACAAATAAGATTAGGGAGACTCGCCTTAGATGGTTTGGTCACATAAAACGGCGACCTTCTGATGACCCAGTTAAGAGTGTAGATTTAACCTATGTTAAGAAAGGTACAGGTATACCTAAAAAGACTTAGTTAAAAAATATTAAAAATGACTTTTCTTTATCAGATCTAAATTAGAATTTGACTACTAATCGGACACAATGGATAAAAAGGATTCATGTAGCTGACCCTACTTAGTGATCAGATAAAGGCTTGATGTTGTTGTTGTGTTGTATTAGAAAATAAAGAAATTAAGATAATAACATGTTGTACCCAGACTTGACCTTTGAAGGAGATATATTAACCCATGATATCGACCTCTTTTAACCGGTCGAGTCGACATGAGCTAAGCACAGCTAATCACACATGAAGTCAGAGAAGACATACTTAAAATTTAATCACTCATCATCCAAACCAATCATTTGTAAAGGACCAATGGACCACCATATATCATATTGAGAATAAGTCTTGAAATCAAAAGAGCACACCTAACATTTTAATATAATACCCTCCTCCGTAAATAACCAAGATTTTTTTTAGTTTTTTAAATTTATTTTCTTTAATTTTTTTTTTTTAGTATTTTTAATCTGTTTTAGAACTTTTAAATTTATAATTATATATATATATATATAAAATACCCCATTTACCAAATGACGTAAGGAAAATAATGAAGCTGCATATTGATTAAATGATCCGTCGCTATAGTCAATTGCTAAAATTGCAATGCTCACAAACCTAAGGGTCGAGCTATTTTCATCAGCCTATCTAAAGGGTTGAAATTCTAAACAGGTTTCATAAGCCTAAGGGCCGAACCTCTCATTTTTTCACGCTTATGAACCTAAGGGTCAAGCTATCAAAAGATTCAAAGGCTAGAAATTTCATGTAAAAGTATAAAGAAATGGTAGGAAGGCTGTCAAAGCCTGAACTGAATGCTGCTGATCTGTCGTCTGACTCTGAATAAATGATCCTGCAACATCACTCGCTCCTCTTCTGCCAACTCCAACCGACGATGGGCTGAGTCGAACTCCTCAGTGAAAAAAGACAGCCTATCCTCCAAGTACTCAACCTCAGCAGCTAGCGAAGAAAAGTCCTCCTCAGTATGGGTGGCCACTGCTCTAATCTCCTGACGTCTCACTAGGAGAGCCCGCCCCCTCTGTCTCAAAGCTCTGAGCTCAGCTTCTATGCCCAGAAGCTCAATCTGCTCCTCAGAAATATCTCGCTGGCAGCGCTGCAAGGCCTGTAATCCAAGATCCAGATCAAGGCGACCTCCCCTCATGCTGTCCCAAGCAGCTCTGGCCTCAGTCTCTAAATCAGTAAGAACAATGCAGGACAGCCTCCAAGAAGTGTAGTGTAACTGAAACAATCCAAACTCAACACTACGGCAGGAAAGCTCCCACATCTGTAAAAGACTATCACGAAGACCGCAGGAGGCAGCAAAGTCTAAAAGCAAGCAGGCCTCCGTGTGAAAGCTGAACAAGTCAGGTGAAGTGTCAAGGTCTACTCTCAACAAGAAAATCCGTAGTGCAGCAACTGCATACTGCACTCCCCTCGACCACCGCCGACTGAAAGGGCGACGAGCTCGAAACACTGATCTCGACTCGAAAAATGATAGCTCCAGGCCTAGAACAAGAAGGAAGGAGCTATCACCAAGAAATCTTTATGTGTATAC